AGGTTATATGGTATCGCTATAAATATGAACCAGTTGACAAGTATCTGAATATAAATCATGTGACCTTGGGGATGCTGCAATGGTCATAAGGGTGAAAAATGGTCATAAGTCACTTTTTCCAGTGCCATTGTAACTTTGAACGGTCACTAAATGAACTGTTGTAAATTGCAGACTACCTGTACACAGAATTCTCTAGCTGAAACACTCTGTCAATATTTTTGTTAGAAACCTAATTTCTCTCCTGTTTTCTTTTGCACTGTCCCCTAGCTCCTCTTATACTAGCTATTGTTTGGAGATATTTTTTTTGTTCTAATGTACAGTTGGTTAGAAACCAAACATTTGCAGGTAAAGGGGGAAAAAGTTGTTAATGTGGAATACACAGTCAAGTATACCACGCAGAAACATGCTAAATAAGATGCAAAACTGATCGCTATGTTTTCAGACTGCTGAAACTAAAGTAACAATAATATGCCTTTAACCAGATTTTATAATCTTCTCTTTATTTCATATAGAAATTTCATAGCAAAACAGAATGGACAGCTGTGTTCCTCTGACATTTGGTTCTGTACTCCAATAACTAATTTAGAATGATTGGAAATTTTGTCTGCCACAGAATTAGGAAAGAAAAGGAGTATCAGCGCCGTGCAGAAGAACAGCGGATGCAGGAGGAACAACGAGCAAAGGAGAAAAGGACACAAGAGATGGCTTCACACAAAAATGCTAACCCCAGGGGGAAAACCTGTGAAAAACTGCAACAACTGAAACTGGAAGACCCAGAAGAAAAGAAAAAACTAGTACAAAAAAATAAAGAATATTCTAGGTGAGTTAAAGTTTATTGGAGTCCAATAAACATGCATTTACAAGCCCTGCCAGACCAGAACAAACAATCACCTGGTCTAGTCTCCTGACAAAGGCTAAAGGCCAAGGTCCTTCTTAGCCTCTAGTCAGGAGATAACGGATGGGGAGCACCACCAGTACAACCAAAGGCAGCTGAACTTCTCCAGGTGTTGAGTACAGGTAGACCTCAACTTACGACCACAATTGAGCCCAAATGTCTGTCATTGAGTTTTGCCCCATTTTACGACATTAGTTGCCATGGTTGTTAAGTGAATCACTGTCATTGATAAATTAATACAGTTAAGTGAAACTGATTTCCCCATTGACTTTGCTTGTCAGAAGGTCGCAAATGGGTGATCACATGACCCATGGCCACTGCAATCGTCAGTTGCCAAGCATCTGAATTTTGATCACGTGCCATGAGAATGCACAATGGTCATTAGTGTGAAAAACAATCATAAATCACTTTTTTCAGTGCCATTGTAACTTCAAACAGTCACTAAACGAACTTGTAAGCCAAGGACTACTTGTATTTCTAAGAGTTATGTCAAATTGCTAAACCAGCAAACATAATCAGTATCTGGTCATAATACTTGCAGATGCTTCCAACCAACCTTTTCACTTGGTTATCCTGCTCCAGGATATCACAGTAAATTGGTGATAGTTGTAGGACTGACAATTGTAGGAATGGTCCCATTGGTCAGGCACAGCAGCAGCAGCAGCAGCATGTGATTATGGGCAAGCAGAATGACCAGAGGCCACCTGAGGCCCCACATCCACTGTAGAACATGAATAGAAGTAGTACTTGGAGAAATTGAGCCCATCAATTTAGTTGCAGCTCTCTTCTGTGGGCATCTGGATGATTAGAAGTGTGGAAGCTATCAATAAAAGAGAGGACATGTACAGGCTTGTGCCTAATTGTGGATGACCTTCCCACATTTTTTCAAGCATTTTAGATATGCAGTATACCCTGGTTTAAAAAATTACAGCAGGGGAGAGGGAATGTGTTATTTCTGAATGCATATAACATCACATGAAAATACAATAAGAATCATCTTCCTGGACGATTAAATCCACACTTCATTATATTGCTGGTTCTTATCTGAGATTTGTATTTTGAACTTACTATAGTTATATTAGATTTCCGTACCTTTTCTGTAACTATGTGATTGAAGATGTCCTATGTAATGATGTAGAGAATTTTTTTAAAAAAAGCAAAATTAAATTATCTAATATGACAATTAATTACTTTAATTGTAATCATTAAACATTTCAGGGGTTTATGTTAATTTGCACACCGATTGAAAACAACACTTTATGAATCTTGCAATCTTGATTTTAATCCATAAAAGCTTATGTCCCAGTAAACCTAAGTGACCTTATAGCTCCTTGTTTGGTTTGCTTCTTTGTTGCAGGAGAAAAATAGTTGAAATAAGTTGAGCAGATTCAGCCAGGAAATTTGGTTCTAGCGCTAAGGCTTTGAAATTATTGCTGAACAGGAAAAAAATGTGTTTTGCAGATATGTGGAAGCATTACGAGCCCAGATGCGAGAGAAGATCGACATGTATAATATACATTTGCCTCCGTTGTGCTTTTGTGGGTCAGGTTTCTGGGATACTCATCCCGATAGCTGTGCCAACAACTGTATGTTCTACAAAAACCACAAAGGTATCATATCTGGAAGTCCCTTTTGCTCCATTATTCTCAGTACCAGCCCTCTAATTTGGATTTGATTCAGTGTATTTTAAAACAGCTGGTGAAATAGAAAAGGCAACTCAGTGCACCACCAGTGATGTCACTGTCTGTGGCAGATGTGCAGTGACATTGAGTGAGATATTTCTAATCTGCCATAACTCTGGGAATGTATTGTTTTTTTTTAAACAAGTTTTATTCAGTTTTCCATATTTTAACGTCTCTTTTTAGTGAACAGCATGAGTACAGGTTTCACATATACATACAAATATGACCATAGTTACATATTCAATTTTTATATCCAATTCCTTATCTTAACAGTGCTTTTATACATTTTCTATTTTATTGTATCATTCCAAATATTTATCTCATTATTTAATTCACTTATGATAACTTCATAATCATTATACATTAGTACTTTTAACTGTCACATTTGTATATTTCATCTTAAATTCTAATTAAAAAAAAACACTTCTTCTATAAATTGGTTTCCCCCCTGAAATCTCAGTATAAGTGCGCCACCTCTAAGTTATAAATTCATTTATTTTCACCCCTTTTAAATCTCGTTAAAACATTTAACATTATTACCTCAAACATTAAACTTAATAATCCCTTTAAAACTACATAGCATATATAAATCAGATTCTGCATGATTTTTCTCCTTTTAAATTTCATTAAATTTCTCCCCCCACCCCCCAAAAGGACATATTAATCTACTCATTCAAACAGTAAAACAATCCTAAGCCCTAAAGTTAATTCAATTTCAGCTCTCCTATATCATTTCATTTATTTCCATATATTTAATACACATATTCCATTAATTATTCCATTTATACTTAAACCAAAAAAAGCCAACATTTCAATCTTTAAAATATTTCAATATATCTAATATACTTATTCCATTATTTGTTACAATTATCTCTCTACATAAAGAGGAAGAGCATTAGATTCCATTATCCGAAAAATAACAATTCTGTTTTTCCATCTTGTCAGCCTATATGTCCCTATTTCGTAACTATTAATTTATTTATATTACCCCTCAATACCTTGCAGAATCCCCTTTCTATATAATAATCACCCATTAGCTCTGTGCCCAATTAAGGATTTCCCCATTTTTTTACAATTCCCATATTTCTATGTTACCAAATCCTGTTTCTTGTCCCTTCTTTCCCCCTGTCTTTTCTCCTTTGTTCTTTCACTCCAGTTTTTATCCCTCTCTCTGTTTATAGCTTCCTTTCACCCTTTGAATTTCTGCTGACTCTTTCCCCCTTTTTTAATTCTTCAGATATTCCCCTTTTTATTTAATTTCTTAAATCTCCTGTATTTATTTCCAACTCTTCTTTCTTTTGAGAGTTCTTGGTTCTCGATGATCACTAAAGATGGTCTCTTCTATGATTTGCTCCACCTCCTCTTCTGCCTTTTGTCTTTGTTGTTCATATACTGCTGTCGCATTTTCAATAAATTTTAAAGCAAAACCCAGCGATTCACCTCGTTCTTGTAGTGTTTCTTTCATTTTTCTGAGTTCCATTTTTAATGTCAGAAGAGAAATTGCCATTTTACAACTTTCCAATTCGCAATTTAATCCAAATAGTATCTTTAAAGTTTATTTCCAACAATCAACTTTTCTTCCTCTCAAGTTTTTAAGTTTCCGCTAATCCAGTGCCAAATTCATGTCAGAATCAGCAACTAATCCAAAGGCAGAATCTTCCTAATTCTTTCTTTGTTACAATATTTCAATTTTTCAAAGTTCTTGCTTTATTGTATCAATTTCCATGCAATTTCAACAAACAAGAATTTTTTAAAAGAAAAACAAGTTGAGTTTAACTGAGATGGCACTCTTTATTATGCTAAGTCTTCACCCCCTCTTTTCTTTTTTCTTCTCTATTATTCAGAGCTTTTTAAACCACAACTTTCCAACAAAAAAAAGATCAAATCCCATTGATATCAGATTTCCTCTTTAACAGTCTATAGTTCAGCTTTATTAGTGCCAATATAAAATCAAAGTATACTTATCCAAGTTGATTATATAGTTCCTTCTCCAGCTTCTACCTTTTGCGGTTTCGAAGCCCCGACGCTATCAAAAGCAATTCACACCTTTTTTTTCTCTTTCTCTTCGCCGCTTAGATCCTTTCTTAAAGATTCTTTGAAATGTTAATCCTGGGGGTATTTTCCATTTGATTATATTGTCCCGTTCCTCCTGCTGTTCGCTTCTTTCTCTCTCTCGTGCACAATCTTATTCCTGTCTAATCTTCCCCTTCAGGGTGGCCATTTTAGACCACCGCTTCAGGCGTCTTTGGGAGGGAGCAATTGACAAGCCAGGGAGGGGATTTGCGACTCCCCTCTACCCAGCTGACGGTCTCCCCTTCCTCTGCCACCCCTACGAGGTAACTTCTGCTCCGAATCCAAAGGATTGGGGCTCTCCGACACCGAAGCATGAACCAAAGCCGCGCACGATCACGGTCAGCGGTCCGTCTTTGGGGAAGCTCAAAACAGGAAGTCAACTCTGGGAATGTATTGTTAATTACAGTTTGAAATATCTTCTTCCACAATTTTCTCTTGCAGTTGTTGATATACAGTAAGATTTGAAACAAATTCGGTTTCTACCTCAGTTTGACAGCATTTCAGTTCTGTGAAAGGGAGAGCTCTCTGAACTTAAGTTACAGTTGTAGTAACCAGCTAAAAAAAATTGTCAACTAAATACTAAATAAACTACATGAACAGACAGATTCTAAATCTGTAGGTGTACACTATAAACAACAATAGCTCCCAAGATTGCCTGCTATGATCAGGTATTGTTCATTCAGAACTTAAAGCAATATTTCTTTTCAAAGATGAAATAAAGAAGGTGGAATACTGTACTTCACAATGGAAGTTGCTCAAATTTAACTTTCTTTGCCTATCCACAGCTGTACGTTCTGTTTCGTTATACAAAATCCCTGCTGCTTCATACTGTAGCAAATATTTTTAATTATTGTGAAACCAGTGGAGGTTCTCTCCTTTGAAGAAACTCATTTGTATAAAGAAAGGTTTTAACTTCTGATTTTGGGTATAACGCAAAGACTTTGAACTGTGATTCTTACGGACAAGCAATGCAACATAAAGAAACCATTTTGCCCGTATCAGACTGGTAGACTCATAACTATGCAGTTAGATAAGAAAGCCTCTAAACTGCCTTAGAATACACACGATTAAACTTGTGATTGTGGTAGTAAAATCCATAAACATTGAACTACTACATTGATTGTATAGCCTTTACTATTGTAGAGGACAAAATGTTTATTTTCCAAGTAGCACATAATTCTCCATCATGCTTTCCATTGTTTTTGCCTTCAAAACTGTATACATCCCAATAAAGCTAATTTCTCTTTCAGCGTATGCTCAAGCTCTGCAAAATGTCATCTCCTCTTGCGATATTTTGGACAGGGGCTCAAACACAAGACTTTCCATCCATACATTTGCTGTTGTACATGCTCGTTCTAAAAATTCCTGACAGAATTGGTGAAATTGGTGCCTCCTTCCCAACCTTGTCTGTGAAAGTAGGCGACTACGAACACATCAATTCTGAATTTTCTCCCAGGTTGGATTAAAATAAATAGATTCAGAAGAGAAGCCTTCTCACATTTCTTTACTTTTCTGAAAGTAATACTCTGTGCTTTGTTTTCTACAGGATAGTAATTTGTCAAAAACTTTAAATTCTTCGTTATTTGTTCATGGGTGGAAAATGTTCTTAGATCAATTTTATTGCCAGGCAGATCTGTATCTGTCAACCTGTGAGACTTCTGCCCAAAATTTAGGTGGATTTTATGCTTTGGGGGTGTGATACGATATTAAGATACATTATGTTTCACACTGGATTTCAAACCAAGATACCTGCCTCTTCCAAGATTTTGAAGTGTAAATTGTAAAATGTAAACCTTGGTCTTTGGGAAAGCCTTTGAAAGGGATTACTCCAAATGAACAGAATCGTTACTAATCATGACAGTGCTTAGTCAGCATCAAGACAAGATGAAGGAATGTTCACATTGAAGAAATTGAGAAAATAACCCAGTTTCTAAAATAAAATGAATTAGTCTTGTACAGTACTTGGTTTTAATTTGATGTTGGCTGTAGGCTGGGAGTCTCTTGTTTGTGATTTGCACATTTGACAGGACAACTCAAAGAATAGTAAAATAATACATATTTCTATGCCTTTTTATTATTATTTGGATATATATATTTGAATGCCTCTGAACTATATTTAAAAAGTGAAACTTTAAAACTGAGTGTTTGGCACATGTTAACTGAAGAGATTTTTATGTCAGCTTGTCCAATTTTCAAGCTTTGCAGATCTGTTAGGTAACATGCAGACAGAGTTTTCTGCTCCCAACATATTCCAATAAAAATGTTTTATATTTTATATCCAAGTGTCCACTGTCAATTCTGCTTATCTCTTGTGAATTCTGGGAATAATAACATATGAAAAAGATTTTCTACTAATCTCATGATGGTTCATGATTTAATTGGAGTAACTGCCAGAATCCTGACATTATGTCTGCTTCTTTTAAAGTGAATTGCTCATAAAAATGATGTTGCAATAGAAAGTGAGAGGTTTATAACATATAATTACATTTTTAATGTCTGTGTCTTTCCTGCAACACATGATGGTATAAAAATATCTTCAGATGTTATATTTGTTCATTGTTTAACCAAATTTTTAAATAACAAAATGATATTGACCTAAGAGATTTCCAAGTTGCATTACAAGTGAGTAAAACTGCTCTCATTATACTCTTAATTACCACTATGGTTGGTCATGTTGGTTACTAGATTCTTGAAAAAACAAAATACAGTATTAAATCCTCAATAGTGAAAATGCTCGTTGCTGTTCTTTCCTCTTCAGCAGATGTAGTAGACTTCCACAATTACTATGTACACTTATGATTTCTTAAAATATTCAGAACATTTTCCACTGACAACAGGAAAATAATGTAAATTTTAAAATCCCTATAAATCTGGGAATATAAGCTTTATCCTTGGATTTTCTTTAAATGGTAGTGTTAAACAAGCTTCTTAAACATGTAAATATAGAAGTTAAAAAATCTTGCTTCAGTCTAGTTAATGGTTATAGCAAGTCTTTACGACTTTTCTGATAGTTCATTTCCAAGGACAGTCTCAACTTTAGCACCATTTTAAAGCTCAATAACTTTAAATGGATGGAAAAAAATTACATATGTACTTAGTTATCTTGGCTTTTTTCCTGCTAAAGGTCTCCACTCAAAGTTGTATTGGAAACTTATCTTCACCTACATTTCGATCAGAATTAGTCTGCTGTGTCATTTCTCTAAATTGCATTATTTGTATGTTAGAGAGTGGTAGTAAGGATGTAAAAATATTAAACAACTATATTTTAGGTGCAATAACAAGCAAAGACAAGGTAAAACAAGAATGATATTAGCTGAGACGCCTAGTCTCCCCATTTGGAACTCTTCATTTTTTGTAATTTTATAATCCACATTTCTTACATTTTTTAAGCCTAAATTATTCAGGCTTTAATATTTTAATTTATTAAATTGTACACTGACTAGAGCCTCTCTGTGAGGAAGATGAGTTATTAAGAAGTTTGATTTTTATATATGTAAAAAAAATCTGCTTTTTAAAAACTGGCTGTTATTAATTGCTTATTTAATAAGCAAATTTCCCCTTTATCTGAATTTTCATTTAAGAAGTGGTAGGTGAAAAAGAAAGAACAATGGCTTTTCTTACAATCATTCTACTAGAGGTTTTGTGGAACTGGAGAGCATGAGTGCATTGGTGCTAAACCAACTCTGCCCTTGACTATGGACCTTGATAATCATGATATGCTAGGTTGCCAATTGTGTTGCTAGTCTTTCTCTGCCTGGTCAACAGGGCAATAAATTCTACCTCTGAGATCCAATTTCATTCAGGCTGCTATGGATCCTCCTGAACCCAGAATCATCTTTTAACGACCCCATAATTCTTGCGAGGTGGAGTCTGGACAACTGAATGGAGCTAACAAGAGTGTTTTAATGGCCGGGTGCCCTTCCTGTCACCAATATGGAGTTTTGTTCAGCAGATATATTCTCAGTGTGCTCAGAGAGAAATATCTGCCTCTACCTAGGATCAAACTCCAACGCACCACTCGTCTTGAACCCAGAATGTGCAACATGAATTAAGGCCAACCATAATACTAAACAACTTTGAAAACATGAGCTGGTTCACAAAAGAAGCAAACATAATGGGTTTGGGTTGGGTGTGTTCTGTGAATCCAGACATTTTTTAATGGTGTTTTGGATGAACATTTTAAAAATGTATATTGGTCAGCCACTCAGTTGCTTTTGTGAGATGGGTGGCCATATAAATAACAGGTTTAAATATTGGTTGTATACTATTAAATGGATACATTTGGTAGCAAGGGTAAGAAAAATTAAATCCCAAGAGTTCAAGAGATGGAAGAATTGTAAAAAAATAATAATTAAAAGCTTAGATTTGGCTCAAAGCCATACTGAAAAATCCTCTGCCTGTACATCATAATGGACTATGTCAATAATACTATATTGGATCTGTAAAGTTTATGCCATAAAGGGTGGAATTTTCCCCCACCCCCAGAAAATAAATGGGCCTCTCCTGTGTCTTACCTTACCTGAAGTAACCTTGCTAGGTAGGGCCATAGCAACCTGTGTTTTTCTCCAACTGTGGAAAGGGTCACTTAATTGTATGGTGATGCTGATAAAAGTTAGGTTTTAATCTGCTAATGAGAATGAAGTGCAGCCATACATCTATAGAAATGTTCCATAGGGATAAAAAATAACTAAGTGACTTGAGATGTCTTGTAGATGGAAACTTAGTTTTTTGGCAAAGTGTTTGCAATTTGATTGAAATACTTTTACAACCTCTAGAAACAGACAAATGTGAACATATATTGCAAAGTCTAATTGGCTTTACTGTTAAGAAATCCTCCTGGGAAAAAGAGCAAGAGCCAAGAATACATCTGCACAGTGACATTTGGCTCTGTAGAAAAGGCAGATTTGGTTGTGTTTATTCCCTAATGACGTTGTAATACACATACATCACGTATGAGTTACATGAAGTTCCATGTATTGCTATCCACAGTACTGGTCTCTGTGCTTCCTACTTCATTGCCAAACCATAATCACAATAGTGATCCTCATTTCCTACATATCTTTATACGGGAGCCTCAGTGGCGAAGTGGTTAGAGTGCAGTATTTAGTATTTAGTATTTATTTGATTTGTCAATCGCTTACAAGATACAGGTATAAGAATAAACATAGTTTTGAATACATGAGATAGATACTTATAAGAAAAATAAAAAGATATAATAGGACAGGGATGGTAGGCACAATTGGTGCACTTATGCACGCCCCAACAGACCTCTAAGGAAAGGGGTGAGGTCAATAGTAGACTCTGTAAGGTTAAAGTTTTTGGGGTTTGGGGAAAAAACCACAGAATCAGGTAGAGTATTCCAGACATTGACCACTCTGTTGCTGAAGTCGTATTTCCTGCAATCAAGTTTGGTGCCGTTAACCTTGAGTTTGTATCTATTTGCTCTTGTATTGTTATGGTTAAAGCTGAAGTATTCATTGACAGGTAGGACATTGCAATGTATGATTTTATATACTATATTTAGATCGGACTGGAGGCGGTGTAGTTCTAGGTTTTCTAGGTCTAGAGTTTCAAGTCTGGTGGCATAAGGTATTCTGCAATGAGTACAGGAGCGGAGAACTCTTCTTGTGAAATATTTCTGGACTTTTTCAATTGTGTTAATATCAGATACATGATATGGGTTCCAGACTGATGAGCTGTATTCAAGTATAGGTCTAGCAAATGTTTTGTATGCTCTAGTTAGTAGTGTGACAGTACCAGAGAAGAAGCTATTAGATTAGATTAACAACTCTTAATGCCTTTTTGGCTATGTAGTTACAGTGGGCTCTAGCACTTAGATCATTAGAGATGAGTACTCCAAGGTCCTTGACAGAGTTTGGATCCTCAACAAGGTCTTGATTATTTAGCTTGTATTTTATTTTCTGATATATTTTTTTTGCCAATATGTAAGACAGATCATTCATTTGTTGAGATTTGAAGTTGCATAAGTACTGCAAGCTACTCCTACTGCAATTTGACAGATCGAATCCCATCAGGCTCAAGGTTGACTCAACCTTCCATCCTTCCAAGGTGGGTAAAATGAGGACCCAGATTGTTGGGGGCAATATGCTAACTCTGTAAACTGCTTTGAGATGGCTAGAAAGCACTATAAAGCAGTATATAAGTCTAAGTGCTATTGCTATTTATGGACTGAATGATAAACAGATCTACTTGATAAATGTATCAATTTATCAAAGAGGGTCTTTTTCTGTGCCTCAATATCACTTGGGTATGACATAACGAGGACTTTATTTCAAAACTTTCCGCATCAAGGAATTCCCTTCCCAAAGAACCCTGATGCTGTTTAAAATTCATGCTATCTCAAATTTAAGCAGTTTTGTTGTTTTATAAGCTAAATATTACTAAGCCACAGTTTATAATTAGTAAACAACAATTAGGGCCAATGGAGATATTCATCCACCCTTTTCCTAGATTACTCAATATTTATAATTAAATGTATTTTCCAATCCACCATTTCTAAGCCAAAGGTTAAGGCTCAGGAGAATGCACACTTAATTTTGATCCATTTTTATTATAATTTCTAGAACATTTTGGTTAACAAGGAAAAATGCAATTCTATTTTAAACATAAAGCTGAAGTCACCTTGACATTCACCTCAACTCCTTGTGGTTTCATTTTCATTATTGAGACATCTGAGCTTATAATAATCAGTGACTAGCAATTGCTTAAAATTTCTGTCCAAACATCAGTTTTGTTCTTCACATTAAAAAGCCAATGTATTTCCCAAAGTATTGGGAATCCAATAGCATTTCCATTCCATTCATCAGGTTGGAAATATTGAAGATGCTATTCTAAACACTTTTGAAATGAAGAAAAAAATCACTTACCAACCTTCCAAAATATCTGTCAATGTGATAGATGCAATTGCTAAAAAAGGCCTAGAACAAGATTTGATTTGTTGGATTCCATGGCCAAGTATGGGTACTTCCATCAAGTGCCACCAAATTGTATGTGTGGTGCCCCAGCCATAGAAAATATTCTTCATGTTTTGTTTCATTGTCAACTCTATAACTCTTTTAGGCTTAGATAATCAAATCCCCTACTTTCAATCTATTGGGAGCTGAATTATTGATTCCTCTATTTCCTCTTGGGTTCTAACATATACATTGTTAGCAAAACTGCTACGTTTACAGACAGGGCAGTCCCCCAATTCAGGGTGGATATTTGGAGCATCTTCTCCCTGTTACATTTTGTAGGGCATCTAG